GCTTGAGCCACATTCCCAGCCCCCAGAATTTGCAGTAATTTATAGTAAAGCTGAAATTATCTTTTCATGGCTTTGTGGCAAGATGGCTCCCAATTTTAAGAAAAGATCAGGTTGGGTCTATCAGGGGGATTGAACTGAGGGGCACTTGACCCCTGAGCCATTTATTTTGAGACAGGATTTTGCTAAGTTGCCCAGGTTGGCCTCCATCTTGCCATCTTCCGCCCTCAGCCTCCCAAGTAGCTGGAATTGCAGGTGCGTGCCACTTTGCAGAGCCTCAATTCAGAAATCAAAGTGTATTAGCATCTGATGACCTTTTATTCATTTCCCCTGGGGARATGCAGGAATAAGGCTTGAAGGAAGCATTGAAGTTTGGAATGACTCTGTGTATTATCAGATGGAGATTGTGTTTGAGCAGAAACAGCAGTTTCTGAAACAGAATAAAAGTTTTTCTTTCATACAAAAACTGTGGGGCTGGGGCTATAGCTYTATGGTAAAGTGCTGTGCCTAGCATGCCCAAGGCCCTGGGTTCCATTCATTACCTAAATTCTAAAATCAAAACATCCTTGAAGATAGGCTACCTGAAGGCTAGTTTCGAGGTTTCTTGTTATCAGTAAGAACCCAGTCTCCACAGATTTCACCGAGATCTCTGAATTTGGATATTTTCCTATCAACTAAGGCATTTTGTGTGAGAGGGTGTATAATGCCTGAGGTTTTTTAATGATTGCTATTTATATATTGAGGTTCCAGTTTGTGAACTGCATTCTCCACTCAGGATTCCAAATCACTATTATTTCTTCATCTCTGTTTTCAGGTGAGGACATCGAGATTTGGAGATGCTAATTAATCCACCTATATTGGAGAAGTTGCCATCATAATAGTTGGGAGAGGAGTAACCTGAGATCTTTGGATTCCTAAACCCAGTGCCTTTCCTGTTGTTGGGGTAGTCATTATTGCCCTCATTTTGATATTCTCTGTTCTGCTTTAAAAGAGATGGATTTTATTTTCCTCTCAGTTGACACTATTGATCCCAGATGTAGAATTCTTTTTTTTTTTTTTTTCTTTGCTGTGCTGGAATTCAACTCCAAGGCTTCATGCTTGTTAAGCAGCCCTCTACCACTGAGCAATATTCCTAGCCCCTTTTTAAAGATTTTGTTATTTGGTTTCTGGTGCTGGCAATTGAACTCAGGCACCACCAGCTATACCTTTAACCAGATGGAAAATTTAAACATTAAGTAGAAAGATGGTCTTCCCTTTTGTTTTAGTCAGCTTATTCGCTGCTGTGACTAAAAGGACCCAACCAGAACAACTATAGAGGAGGAGAAGTTTATTTAAGAGCTCACAGTTTTTAGTTCATAAACAGCAGGATCCATTCCTTGGGGCTCAAGGCAGGACATCATGGCTGGCAGAGTGTGACAGAAGGTAGCAGCTCACATGCCAATCAGGAAGCAGAGAGAGTCCAATCACCAGATACAAAATATATACCCAAAGCCAGGCCCCAATTCCCACCTCCTCCAGTCACACCTTACCACTTCAGTTACCCCTGTTAATCCCTATCAGGGGATTAAAACACTGATTAGGTTAAGACTCTCACAACCCAATAGTTTCTCCTCTGAATCTTCTTGCGTCATCTCACATGTGAGTATTTGGGGAACACCACATCCAAACCATAACACCTTCCTCACCTTGAGCCTCTTTAACATTAAAGATGCAGGGCCTCACTAGTAGGTTCATTCATCCACTGCACAAATATTTGAGTACCAAAAAGAGACAAGTACAATTCTAGCCCTAAGGAAAGGGCAGAGAAAGAAAACAAATTGATTTTCCTAGAAAGCCTGATTTCTTGTCAGTATTTGCAATAAGATGTGATTTTAAATCATCAGATTGGGGATGGGGTATAAAAAGTCCAATAACACCAAAGGTCAAGGCAGATGTGCAGTCACAGGAACCTGTATACACTGTTCAGGGGAATGCAAATCAGTAAAATGGCTTTATAGAGAAAGTTTGAAGTACCTAAAAAAGTTTAAAATGGTCAGGTGTGGTGGCACATGCCTATAATCCTAGCTACTTGAGAGACTGAGACAGGAAAATGACAAGTTTGAGGCCAACCTGGATAACTTAGCAAGATCCTATTGTCAAGAGCCATCTGTGGGCTGTGTGTGGATGGCATTGCAGCCTAGTGAATAGGAGAATCTGGTGTCTGGGAACTTACAGTGGACATTTTCTCTGGCTGACTGCCCAGACACATTATGAGCCCTATTCAAGCTCTGCCTGATCCCACACAGCACTGGAGTTGAAGTGACCTGCTATAGCCAAACAGCCTCTCAGAGATGGGTGTGACCTGCCAAGATGCCAATCAACCTGCTGACTGCAAGACACCATGAAGCAAGACCCCACCCCAAAACCTAATTCCTGCCCTTTAATATACCCCCTTAAATAAACCAGAGGAACCATTTTCTAACTGTCCAGCTCCAGCTCCTGTGTGGCCTGGATCTATCAGGAGCTGCAGGCTTCCTTTAATACTATCTTTTCTGACTCTTTGTCTTTTGTTTGTCAGCAGTTATTTCTGACTTTAAATTCTTAGGAGGCTTATCCCTCTGAGCAGGCAAAAGTTCTGTGGCAATGTGCTGCACCCCACCACCACCACCACCCAGCCCTTGATACCATATCTCAAAATAAATAAAATTTCTTTAGAAAGGACTTGGGATGAAGCCTCAGTGATAGAGCTTCTCTAGCATGCTATGGCCCTGGGTTCAATCCTTAGTACCACAAAATAAATACATTAAATAAAGTTGAAAAAGTGTCAACCCCTGTGAACTACCAGTTCTTCTAGAAATATCTTAGGAAAATATCTTGCATATGCATACACATTCATTTAAAATATTTGTCATAGCAGCATTGCTTATAACAAAAAAATTGAAACCACCTGTATGTCCATGAAATGAAAATGGACAAATAAGTTATAGATAAATGGCAAAATACTATATAGGAGGGCTGGGGATGTGGCTCAAACGGTAGCGCACTCGCCTGGTATGCATGCGGCCCGGCTTCCATCCTCAGGACCACATAAAAACAAAGATGTTGTGTCCGCCAAAAACTAAAAAATAAATATTAAAATTCTCTCTCTCTCTCTCTCTCTCTCTCTCTCTCTCTTTAAAAAAAAAAAAAAAAAAAACTTATGAGCCTGTGAAAGTGGCTTCTTTATAAAGGAGTTAAATGAACTGGAACTACATCTATCTACACGAATAAATCTCAAATACACAGTTTTAATTTAGAATTTATGAATATAATTTATTAATATCTTAATTTTATAATTTTTCTTGACATTGTAACTGATTTATTTTTATTTCTAACTTGTTTAGAAGTGTATAGGAAGACTATTGGGATCTGCATATTAATTTTTTTTAAGAGAGAGAGAATTTTTTTTTAAGAATTTTTTTTTTTTAGAGAGAATTTTAATATTTTATTTTTTAGTTATCGGCGGACACAACATCTTTGTTTGTATGTGGTGCTGAGGATCGAACCCAGGCTGCACGCATACCAGGCGAGCGCGCTACCGTTTGAGCCACATCTCCAGCCCCGAGAGAGAATTTTTTAATATTTATTTTTTAGTTTTTGGTGGACACAACATCTTTGTTTGTATGTGATGCTGAGGATCGAACCCGGGCCTGCACGCATTCGGGGCRAGCACGCTACTGCTTGAGCCACATCTTCAGCCCCTGCATATTAATTTTAAATCCTAGCAACTTTGATAAAATCTCTTTGGTTCCATTTTGGGCAGATTTAACTAGATTTTTCACATAATATTTTTTCCTCCTTTCAGTAAATATCTTCTCGTTTGTCTTATTTGTTTTAATCTGTTAAAATCTTCAGCATGGGAACTAAGGTGGTGGCGCAGTGGTAGAGCCCTTGCCTAGCATGTGTGAGGCACTGGGTTCATTTCTCAGCACACATATAAATAAACAAAAATAATAAGGTTCTATCAGCAACTAAAAAAAAAATTTAAAAAACAACTTCAGCATAATATTGAATTTAAAATGATAGCAGAGGGCTGGGGATATAGCTCAGTTGGTAGAGTGCTTGCCTTGCGTGCATAGGGCCCTGGGTTCAGTCCCCAGCACCACACACACACACACACACACACACACACCAAAAAAAAGCAGGTTTTGTCTTATATTTAATTACTAGGGATTCAATAGAAGTTATAATTGTAGTTTTTTTTTTTTTATAAATGACATTAATCAGGTCAGTAGGGTTTTTTATTACTAGTTGGCTGGGAAGTGTTAGATTTTTGAATGAGTATTGTGTTTTATCAAATGGTTTTCTGCATTAATTTAAATAATCACGTTGTTTCTCCTTTGCTTTGTTAATCAAGCATACTTTTTTTCCTCCAATTCTATCCCCAGGGCAACACTACAACTGAGCTACAGTTGCAGCCCTTTTTATTTTTTATTTTGAGACTGGGTCTCACTAAGTTGCCAAGGTTGGCCTTAAACTTGTGGTCCTCCTGCTTCGGTCTCACCAGTCACTAGAATTACAGATGTGTTTCATTGTGCTCATCAGTAATGCACATATGGTACTGGGGATTTAACCCAGGGTGCTTTATCACTGAACCACATCCCCAGCCCTTTTCTACTTTTTTGTTTACAGACAGGGTCTTGCTAAGTTGCTTAGGGCCTTGCTAAGTTGCTGAGGCTGGCCTCAAACATGTAATCCTCCTGCCTCAGCCTCCTGAGCTGGGCAGTAATGCACATTTCTTAGTAGATTTTTCTCTCATTAAACTAAAAAAATAAGTTTAAAAAAATTGACCTTATATTCCTGGGATACTCCCAACTCAGTCATGATATATTTTAATTTGTACAATTCTAATTTCTGATATTTAGGATTTTAGAATCTAGGATTAGAAATGAAATCATTTATAACTTCCAATTCTCATATGGTATATGGTTTCAAGAGATCTTAGCCTCATCAAATAGGTAAGATAACTTGTCATCTTTTCTGTTGTGTACAGCAATTTGCAGAAGAGAATTTTCTATCTGTTCCTTGAAAATTTGGTAGAAGTTCTCTGAAAGAATGTGTTGTATATATTTTTGGTAGAAAGGCTTGACTAGAGATGCATTTTATCTAATGTTCATAAAAATCTATTCATTTTTTTAACTTTTATTTTGGAGTATGTATGCTACTGGGGATTAAACCCAGGCCTCGCATGCACATGCTAGGCAGATCCTCTATTACTGAACTACATCTCAGGCTGCCTCAAATTTACAGTCCTCTWGCCTCAGCCTTCCAGGTACCTGGGATTACAGGTGTGTACCATTGTGCCCAGCCTTCTAAATACTTTTTAGTTTTATTTTACAAATTTTGACATGTGGTGTTATCATAGTCATTAGTACCTAAATATTTTCTAACTTCTATTCTTTGCTCTTTTTTTTTTTACTTTTTACAGTATTTATCCTTTTGTTTTCTGTAATTAGTAAGAGGTAAGTTTTTCTCCTTTCCTTTCTTTTCTTATTTATTTATTCATTTATTTTGAGACACCTCTTGTTATATAGCCAAGTCTGGCCATAAACTCCTGACCTCAAGCGATCTTCCCACTTCAGCCTCCTGAGTAGCTGATACAACAAGGACTTGCTACTATGCCCAGCATTAAGTTTTTCAATTTATAAACATTCGATTATTTTGATTATTATTTTGTTGATGTCTATCATATCTATTTATATTAAATGTCTAATTATATTAAATTTCAGTCAAAGAATTTGGTTTGTAAGCTACCAATACTTTGCTTTTTGTTTGGACTTGCCTTATGTGTGTGTGTGTGTGAGTATATATATTCAAGTTTTATAAATGATTTATATTACCTGGAAAAGGAGTTTATTCAAATCAAAACTTTTTAGTTCAAATTCCCTGAACACTTACTAATTTTTGGTCTATCTCATGTATAAGTGAAAAGTAGAGTTTTGTTTTGATTTTGTTTTTATTATTTATTTWTTTTTTKKTTTTTGGTTTGGGGTTTTGTTTTGTTTTGTTTCATTGATGAGCACTGAACCCAGCAGCACTTAACCACTGAGCTATATCCCCAGCCCTTTTTATTTTTTATTTTGAGATAGAGTCTCTATAAATTGCTAAGATTGACCTCAAACTTGCAATCCTCCTGCCTCAGCCTCCAAGTAGCTGGGATTACAAATGGGTGCTAATATGCCCAGGTGTATGTTTAAAATCCCCCATTATGAGATATGATTTTTTGTTTTGTTTTGTTTTGTTTTGTTTTTTGTGGTGCTGGGGATCTAACTCAGGGTTATATATATATATATATATATATATATATATATATATATATATATATATTGAATTCATGGCTTTAATATACATATAGATGGATTGATATAAAAATATATGTACAAGGGCTGGAATTGTGGCTCAGAAGTAGAGCACTTGTCTAGTCCATATGAGGCACTAGATTTGATTCTCAGCACCACATAAAAAATAAAGACATTGTGT